ATAGTACATAGGCCTGTTAATTTGGTTATGAATGTCAGTTGTCCTTTTTGTCTAAGTGAGCATGTTTTTTCCAGATTAAGCTACAAAGTGGACCAGAGTCGAAAGTCTTGTTAATCATCAAATTCAGTTTAACCAATGTTCTTTTTCCAATATCATATATATATTTTTATATATCTTTGATCTGTTTTTACATTTGGCTGTAATCTTCAAAGACTAAGACTTTCCCACACAGTCTGCGCTGTGTTTTGTCCTTGACCGAGAGCTGCGGTGTTGTCAGAGCGCAGGAATGTGTGCGGCGAGGCCTGAGCTGCATATTTCCTCTGGTCTCCATTAGAGCCAGCTGTCTGTCTGACACAGCATGCAGTTCACTGCGGCACCATCAGGGGGCGCCAATTTAGGATTAAAAAAATGCATGTTCTTTTTTGTTGTTCTTTTGTTCCTGTATCAAGAAATAGTAAGGACATTATCTCCAATGCAATACCTCCTTTAAATTGCACTTTTCTTTAATGTTAAATTAATGGCATTAAGCATGTCTAAATTGCAAGTAAATTTTTTATATTATGAAACAGTCTATCAGTTTCTGTAATTAAAATTTGTAAAGCATTTGATAATGCTTTTTCTCTTTGCTCCTCTAACAATCCTGGAACATTTGGAAATATCAGGAAATTTCAAGTGGGTTTTCCATCCCTGGAAAAATCTGGGGAATTAATAAAATATATTTCTAGTTAGTTCGGAGGTTTTTTTAATATTTTTTTTGGGCTAGGAATGACAGGTTTTGTCAGTATGATTCTTTTATAAAAATGTTTTTTTTTTTTTTTTTACCTCTTAACTGTCATGAATTATAATTATTATAATTCATGAACGCTTTTGAATACAGACCTAAGGTTGGTCTCTCATTTCAAAAAATGAAAGGGAAAAATTTACTGTAAAGAAAATGTACTGTACTATTTTTATTTTATATAAAATAAATATTTTAAAAAACATTGTTTAATCCAAATTTGGCATAAAATTAAATCCATATGTCTAAATAAGTTGTGTTCCAAATTTGAAGTTGATATTAAAAAAAAATTGAGGTTACTATGCAATTTTGTTTAGGTGTTATACAAAAATTGGCCACCGGGTGACACCCAAACTCCATTTAATTTTTTTATGCATTTTTCTGTCACAAACAACATACCACCAAATATGGAATCTTGAGACTCAGACCTTTCCGACGATATGTATTTTGTCAAGATTCTAGAAAGTTTTGATTCCAAAACACCGTAATACATTTTGTAATATGACACCCCGCACTAAGGGGGAGGGGCCTGCTAAAAGATTTTAAAGTACCATTTCCATGGTAACGCAATGTCCGATTTCAAAACGGTTTTCAGAGGATGAATTTTGAGGTTTTAAGCTTTCAAACGATATACAATTTATGATGATTACTAAAACACGTGATGGGGAAAAAAAGGAAACGAATAGAATTTTTGTGACAAAGGTCAGAGCTCCTGTTATGGTGTATATGTTTTGAGGTGCACTCTTGTCATAAATTAATCTATTACTGCTCCTACATAATTTCTAACAACAAACAGTGGTAAAATATCTATTTAGGAGTCTTAGACCTTTCCAACGATATATAGTTTGTCATGATTAGATCAGGATTTAATTGTAATATATTGAAGTAAACTTAGCAGGACGGTGAGGTAAGGGGTTAAATCCCTTAACCAGTCACACAAATGACTAGAAAAACCATGAAAATCATTAGTCAGAAAATGTGGAAACCCAGGGTTAAATACTAACTAAACTTAAGCATTTAGTAAAGTCACATTTATTTGTATAGTGCTTTTCACAATACACATTGTTTTGTAGCTTGACAGAAAATCATGATGTTAATGTTTGTAATATCTTAATATCGTCATGCCTTATAGTCACATTCAGCAGATTAGTGCTGGGCGATAATATAGTTTACATTTTGTGATGATGCAAGCAATCAAGCAGTTTTACTATTTGCTATATTGCATATAATTTAGTATGTATCACTGTACATAAGTATACTGTATGTATGTGGATCAAGTAGGACATACTTGTATACAGACTTTATATAAAGAGCTGCTTGATAACATTTTGTGACAATACAAGCAAGCAAGCAGTTGAGATTTGCTCTAGTATACTGTATGTATCTGGGTAAGCTTTATATAATTTGATGAGTCCCATGGCATCTAAAGTCTTTAATCTTTTTTGTAGATCTGTAATTGGTTCATAAATGCCCGCCGGAGGCTCCTGCCGGACCTGCTCAGGAAAGACGGCAAAGACCCCACTCAGTTTACAATGTCACGGCGCACTAGCAAACCAGACAAATCCGCCTCCCCGAAATGCCCCGCCTCTTCGACCCGCCCCTCTGTCATCTGCCCCGCCCCCACATTGGACTTGAGGCTGCTGGGTAACACTGCGACGGCAATTTTGGCTGGAGCCGGTTGCTTGCCATCATCAGGAAACCAAGATGGCATTCAGGCTCTGATGCAGCTGGACACTCGAGGTCTGCTGAGACGGGAAGGCCTAACTGGAGACCAGTACCTAACGACCATCCCGCTTGCTTCTACCTCTGTCCCAACCCTGGGAGCGGTGAGCCCGACTGGGGTCCTGTTCAACACGCCTCCGCCTACCCCACCGGAGCTTTGCCCTCAAGATTTCAGCGATCTGAAGCTTCTGGTGGACGCGGCCCTGCAGCGAGCGGCCGAGCAAGAAATCAGTCAGCAGAAAGAACAAACGATGCAGCAGCAACCAAACGGACCTACAAACGAAAGTTCAAGAGCGACCGTCCAGAATGGCAATTCGGAGGCGCCTTCAAGGGACGAATCCGATGCTGCACCGAGCTTGATGGAGAATGCAGTATTGCCAGTGTCGGTTCCCGTCATGAGCCATGCTTTTCCAGGCCTTCCCGTCGATCTAAGCACCAATGCGGAATCTGGAAGCTTTGCGTCTTCTGGGATGTGGAGCGTCCGACAACCCGGTCCTCCTGCGAATGTGGTATCGCACACATGGGTTTCACAGTACACGCATAATACAGTCACGGAAGCGGTTAACTAAATGGTCCAGCAGACCAACTCACTTTAGACTCCTTTTGTTTGCTTATTTTTCTTGGAAAACTCTTGAGCAGATGTAAACCTGCCTCCCCAAATGGTTGTCATGGATGTCACTTCAGGGGATTCAGGAGTGAAGATTCTCTACACCACAATGTATTTTTTAAGACATTTTAAAAACGTTTTGAACCTTTTACCTTTGTAACTACATGAAGTTTATGGGCATGCATAAAATGCTCTTCGAAAAATAATCCAGCATTTCAGACTCTGGGATCTTCGAGACCAGGTGGAGGTCCTTTCAGGCGGAAGTATTTCCATGTGCAAACTCCAAGCCTGTGCAACTCGGGTTTACAGCCAAGAGATTTTCACTTAAACGTTTGTAATTGAAGTGGCCTTGCGTTGTTTTCGATAAAGAAGCTCCACATATAGTTGCTCTTGCCTGTTTGCATCAGTATATCCACTAGGGTTCGACGTAAATGAGTCATATAGCATGCTTTACTTATTTGAGATCTGTGAATGCAAAGACCAGCATGCATTGTTAAAAAATGATCCGAGATTAGCAACCAAAAATGCTCTCTTGGATTTAATACTTTGCTCCGAATTTGACTGAAAGCCTCAAAAGTTCTACAACCTCAGCTTTGAAAGTCTTTCCCAGTAGTGTTTGTAATTTGTCATATTTCCTGCACTTTATAGTCTCGTCGTTATGCCAGGACCGTCTGTCTGGTCTCAGAGTAAGGTCCGAGTGCTCTCTCGTGTGCCGTGACATGCGTCTGTCAGGAAACGGATCGGTACTGCAGAGATCATCCCTCACGTCTCGTGTCTGTCTGAGATGCGGGAGGGAGGTCGTCTCAAAGACGGAGCCGGCATTGATATTCTTCACTTCTCATGTAACGTGATCGTAGGGCTGTAGCTTTATTTTTGCTGAAATGATTATTGTTCTGACAGTATTGTTGGGTGATGTAGATGATCAGCATTAATAATTGTGTTTTACATATCACCGTGTAGAGGGAGACATCATATGGATGTGTTAGTGAGTATGAGCGAATTTATTGGGAAGACTGAAAGTGTTTTTGTTTGTTTTTTTACGCTAAAGGAGTTTTGTGTATTTCCAAGATGAATTTAAAGTGTGTTCGTACCTCTCTGAGATGAACTGAAGTGCTTCTTTCTCTCTCATAATCTGTGAATGTATCTAGAGAACTAACAAATATTATTTAGAAACCGAAAATTCTTTCCATGAGCTATTCCCTCAGACTCTTTCTCTTTTTGGACACTAGAGATCCTAGATGCATTATGATTTTATGCTTGTAGTTTCAATGAAACTGAGAACATGTACAGATAGTCAGATTCATCTTTATATAACCTTTTAATATTTTTATAAAGCGGTTCATGTTATTTCAATTGATTTTCTCACAAACATGCCATAAATTCGGATTAGTTTGCTTAGGTAAGTTCTCATTTGAGGTCAGTGCAAAGGTTAGAGTTCATGTTCTGGAGTACTGTACATGTTTCTTGTTGTTTTTCAGTACATCTCAGGTTTGTTTTCATTTGACCTTTCCTTCTTGGGTTTGAGTCATTCTCATTTCCTTCTCTGACATCACAAAGGGAGTTTTTAATTCTATTCTATAAGGTGCATCTTTTTTTTTTTTTTGAAGCCGTGTTTGAGCTGATTATGAGAAACCGACTGTCATATTGTAGCATCACAAACTGTATTACAGATCTAATTAACTAACATTTCAAAACCACTGTGATCGTTGGGTTACTGGAGCAGTGATAGGTACTGGAAGTAACTATATATTTTTCATATAATATACTCTATTTTTCACCTCTTCAGAAAGACCAATATTAATATTCCGGGAACTGTATTATTGATGTTCTTATTGCAAAAAGGTTTTTCTAGATGACAATGTGAAACATGTAAATATCATTCAAGTTTTTGTCTGGCATAGACCTGCTTTTATTGTGTATACATCAAATATGCGTAGCTCTCTCCTGTACGACCAAATACATGGATTTTGTTTAATATGATCGTGTGTGTGTGTATAACTGAGGACAGTAAAGCTGGCATCTGTGCCTTACCTGCTTCCTTAGAAAACCTTTGGACTAGTCTGTGCAATATCTGCCTTAAGATTTTATTTGATGTCCTTTTGTACAAGCATTACAGAGAAATAAAGCTTCGTTTTTCATAGATTTGTAGTAATGTTGTGAAGTAATGGAAATTGCTTTATTTTACAGAGCAAATGTCCAGAAATGAGTACTGTTGACTTATGCATGCACAGAAATTATTTTGAGAATTCACTGTATAGTTCGAGGCCATCTTTATTTCAGTATAAAATGAGTCATGTTCATATGATGGATGACTCGGTGTCTGAGAGCTGCCACATGTAAATACACATTTTATAAGCCAGATATTCACAGGGTTTAATGGGAAAATACAAGTAGCAGTACCACCAAAAAAATCAACACATCCTAAAGTCTGCGTCTCGGTTATCAGGAGAATATCAGTTTGAAAAATGAAGGTGACCTTAAGGAATCTGTCGTTCTGTACTTCCATTAATGACTTCAAAATACCCATAATGTTTTTGATATCTGATAATATTGCTCAGTGAGGGGGAGATACTGATAATCCTTTTAAATACACACGTTAAAATAACCTTTTCTACAGGTTTATGGCATTTCCAATGTAATAGTTTCATTTCTGAGGTGCACAGATTCCGAACTCAAAGACGTCCAGCCGCAGCTGCAGAGTACATTGCTTTATACTGTAGTCCCCCATAAAAACACAAAATACACACTGCACAGATTGTTAGCAATGCAACCTGGTTGTATCGAATGCATTTAGAGAAAAAAAATACTTCTTTTATAGACCATGGAATATTTGTGACCCGAAATGTGTTTTTCTTTGACTTCTAGATGCTGATCATGTGTTTGTAATGCGCTGTGCAGCTGCGGCTGATGCTCTCTGATCGTCTACATGTCGTCTTTATCTTTGGCCCCGTGTTTGAGAATCCGGGTGAATTCGCCGTAGTTAAAGTTGCCCTTTTTGTCAATGGGAGCCTCTCTGAAGAGCTCGTCCACATCTTCATCTGTGAAACGATCTCCCATGGTGGTCAGCAGCTCTCGCAGGTGGTCTTCATGAATTAAACCTGTGCAGACGATTTGTTTAATGCGTAGATCAAGAGGTATGAGATGTGAACTGCCTCTGAATATTGGGGCATAATTTCTGAATTTTGAGAGAATCATTTCCATATCTTTTATTTGCTAAATAAAGTTCTAAAATTCTAATGTATAACCTATATATAGTACTGATGTAGCTTAAAGGGATAGTTCACCTTCAGTTGGTCCCCATTGACTTGCATAGTGTTTTTTCCATACTATGGAAGTCAATGGGGACCAGCAACGGAAGGTGAACTATCCCTTTAAGTCTTATACTATACACTCTTAAAAATAAAGGTTCCAAAAGTGGGTTTTCACAGTGATGTCATAGAAGAACCAGTTTTGGTTCCCCAAAGAACATTTTAGTGAACAGTTCTTAAAAGAACCATTTTCTCTTGTGTGAAGAACATTTTAATAATCTAAAGAACCTTTTGTGGAATGAAAAGTTTCCATGGATGGTAAAGGTTCCATTGTTGCTAATAAAGAACCTTTATTTTTAAGAGTGTATAAGCATCTAGAATATGTAATTAAAGGGTTATTTCTTATTAGTCCTGAATTTATATTTGTATTACCTTTTCATTTTATTCTTTTCTGTATTTATTATTATTGTAACTTTTTACATTTTTATTTGTGTTTATGGGCTGTGTTATTTTTATATGTATGTATTTCTATATTTATTTATCAAATAAAAATTTCCCATATGTCACCCCTCTATTATGGAGGCCCAGAACAGCAGAAATTAAAAATAAATGCATGTATTAATAAATATGGAAAGAAATGCATGTGGAAAAAAATAACTATTGAAAATGAACACAAATAAATATGACAAATAAATAAAAAAAATAGTTAAATACAGAAAATAAATCAAAAATTAACAAACAAACAATAAATAAATGGTATTTGTTTTATTTATTTTTCTATTATTACATGTATTTATTTATTTTTACTTTTGCAGGTTTGGGCCTTCATACTACTTTCTGTGATGGTCAGACTCTTGATATTGAGGCAGTTTTTGTTTTACCGGATCCTTCCTCGTCGAAGCAGGCGAAAGCGTTCCTGATGACGTCCTCCGGGTCGGTTCCGTTGAGCCGTTCTCCAAACATAGTGAGGAACATGGTGAAGTTGATGGGCCCTGGAGCTTCACTCATCATGCCCTCCAGGTAATCTTCAGACGGGTTCTTCCCTGAGCACAGGTAACACACACACCGAAGCAGAGGTCAGTATTTGATATAGAAGACTGTTATTATGTCGGTTCCTCTCCGTCAGACTCACCCAAAGAGGCCAGCATGTCATGGAGATCCTCTTTATCGATGAATCCATCTCGGTTCTGGTCGATCATGTTGAAGGCCTCCTTGAACTCCTGGATCTGTGATTGGTCAAACATGGCAAACACGTTTGAAGTGGCTCTCTGTGGCCTCTTCTTAGTGGTCTTTCCCTTCGCTCGCTTGCTGGACATGATGACGGTGTTTCAGGTCTGGAAAGAGCAGATGTTGATTAATGCTTCTGCAATAACAGGGTCCACAGTAGATGTGCATTGATTAAGACTGGGGATGGTGTACTTTTGTAGGCCAAGACCTTAAAAGGAGTTCACAAATGTTTTGCCTGAAAAAAGGTTTGTTTTTAACACAAGCTCAAGATATGTTCAAGCTTTAAAATCCATCAGTAATACACTCTCATGATTCTTTTAAGCCTTTTACTTGTCTTGTGAAGTAGAGTAGTTATTAAGAGTTACCTGATCTTTAATAATGTTCTCAAAACATTAACAGCAAAACATTTATACATTGTTTATGGAATTTGTTTTTCTTTTAGTTTAACATTTTTTAAAATGCTACTAGTTATTTGTTTCTGAATGCTCAAGAGAACATTAAATAGTAATGTTCCCATAATGATAAAAATAAATAATAAAATGGGATATTCCCTTAATGTTGATATTAATTTTTTTAAAAACTGGACATTTTGAATGTTCGTGAAACATTCAGAATTAACATTTTCATAGCTTAATGGGAATGTTATCGATGATTTCTGTAATGTTTTTTTGTGTAGGTTCATCCTGTTTGATTAAAATACACAAATTGGTCCCACTTTATTTTAGGTGTTTATATGTTTTAAAAAAAAATAATAAAAGAATTAATTGTTAGGTACAATGTGCCTATTGTGTTCATGTCGAATTAAAAAAAAAACACTTTTGCTGCTATCGAGGTGGGATACGGGTAAGGTTAGGGGCAGATTTGGTGCTATGTTTAGGTTTAAGGGGTAAAGGTATAGGGTCAACAGTGTAATTATAGACGTAATTACAAGACGGTATTTTCAAATGTAAGTGTATGTATGCACATAAGAAGTGTGCATACTTCTTATGCACACTTATTAATCAAATGATTAATTTAAATGTAAGTACTTAATAGTTAAAGACACTTAGTCCCACAAATCAACATTTGAAGATATGGTTCAAATATGAAAATGAACTTGATGTCCTCATGTAAAATGACTAGATCTCGTAGGGTGACATCCTAAATGACTCAAACACTGTCACATGACTGGAAGATTCCTCAGCTAATGATGTGTGTGAGTTAATGTGTGTGTACTGCATGACACGTTTACTTTTACTTCTTTCATAACTTGTGTCGTTTTTATTGTCATGTGCATTGTGTTGTTGTTGTTGTTATTAGATGGAGTATATAAACCATCAGCTATATGGATGTCTTTGTCATCAACCTAACATTCTCTCTTTGTGTCTCTGTGCTTCTACGTGAATGACTTTATTTGGGCGTCAACCAACAGCTGTCATTACAGGAAAGCGTGTGTCTGATATATGACCGTCCAGCCAAACAAAAAAGTTGTGTGGAGTCAGCATTATTCATCTGTAAAAATGCATTCATGTTAAATCAGTGAACCACAGATTCGTATGTTCTTTCAGAACCGGATTTCAGTGTGCTTTATAGTAAAAAAAAAAAATCATTAGTTTAGTGCGAGCATGCATAATAACCACTGACAGAGTTCAGAAACTAAAATGATTAAAAACGTTGTTAACTGATTATTAGATGGAGTATATAAACCATCAGCTATATGGATGTCTTTGTCATCAACCTAACATTCTCTCTTTGTGTCTCTGTGCTTCTACGTGAATGACTTTATTTGGGCGTCAACCAACAGCTGTCATTACAGGAAAGCGTGTGTCTGATATATGACCAGCCAAACAAAAAAGTTGTGTGGAGTCAGCATTATTCATCTGTAAAAATGCATTCATGTTAAATCAGTGAACCACAGATTCGTATGTTCTTTCAGAACCGGATTTCAGTGTGCTTTATAGTAAAAAAAAAAAATAATTAGTTTAGTGCGAGCATGCATAATAACCACTGACAGAGTTCAGAAACTAAAATTATTAAAAACGTTGTTAACTGACATAAATGTAAAAGCTAGCTGCCAAGGCAAGTTTTCTTATTTCCATTTAGGTTAACTTGATGTAGTAAAATAACTCAACCTAAAACTGAAATAAAACTTAATAAAAGGTTGACAAAAAAAGAAGACAAAAACAACAAAATTACTAAAACTTTATAATTAAAATGAAAACAAAATATTAAAATAAAAACTTCAAAACAGTAATCAAACCTATAATAACACTTGTCCAAATGCACAGACTTATAGTATGCTCACATAAGACATATTTATATGTCCGACTCTCCAAAAAAATTAAATAAATTAAAATAACAATTAATTCATAAATTGACAAAAACAACAAAATGACTAAAACCTTGTCTAAAATTAAAATGACATTTTTATTCAAAATATTAATCATCCTGTAATAACACTGGTCCAGTTGCTCAGACTCACAGTATATGTCCAGCTCTCAGAGAAACCAAACGTGGCTGAGAGCAGGACTGTAATGAGGCTTTGATTCCAAGGATTTATAGACCGACCGAAAGTCACTTATTTAAGATGTGCCTCTTACGACTAAGAATTTAGTTAGCAGTCACTCTTTTTTCATTAACTCCAAAGTGATGGTGATTTAAGGATATTAGTCAGCTTTGAGCTAGAAAACATTTTATATCTGTAAACAGAGCAGATTCACTGAAGGCCAATAAAGTCATGAGCATCAGAGATGATGTTTCTGTTTCTGAGCCCGATGTGAACAACACATTTCACAACCATCTGTTTCAAAACACATTAAACATTTATGAATACGTCATTCATTATGAATGTGTAATTAATGTTATTCAGTTCATCTAGATGACCACAGTTAGCTACAGTCATTTTCATATCTGTGTTTTTATTGCTCTTGTATTCATAGTTTCTCAATATCTGCTCAATAAAGTAAGCAAATGCCGTCCTGGTCCGTATGCAAACGTCCTGGTCAGTGTCTTTATATCACATTAATCTTTCACTGAACAAGAAGCCTATGCAGCACTAAACTGTCTATTATGAATATGGATAAAATCGTATGTATATCCTACAATTGCTTCCTCATTTTGGAGTATAATGCTGTATTTTAAACTCTCTGACTGCATTATTATTGTGCTGTGTGTTTCGTGAGTATGAAGCAGGACCAGTATTTATGTAACAGAGTAACTAACTGCTTATTTTGCACATCACCAGATCACAATGTCCAGCTCCACCACAGGATTAAATGTAGGAATTTAGAAACAGATGGACCGACCGCCTGAAGGACATCAGATTCTCATCATCCAGCAGAACATTTCCATGCACTCATTTATGTACGTCATAATATATTGGATAACAATATATATATATATATAACTTCGGTGGAAACTACAATATTTATGACATTTATTTGAATGGGTTAAACGTTTAAATATCATTTCAATTGTTGATCAATTTTTTTGTTAAAAATAAAACAACATTCTTGAAATTTATTTGGGTTAAACTTGGGTTTAAATATTTGTTGATACACGTTTGTTTTTCTTTGTCATCAATGTCACTTTCTATCCTGTTTTTCTGTTCTCGTTTACAGGAAATTACATCATTATGGCGGTAAAACAGGAGCACAGTCATCATCAGTAAGTATTATCTATGGATTTGATGAATTCTGCTGTTTTAATTGGTTTGAGTCTCTCTAAAACTCCCATCCTTTTTAAATAACGCAAACCAACATTTCAAAAAGGTGGTTAAAATATGCAAATGAACTTTAAGTGGACATCCTAATGTACTCTAACTTTAGCACTTATGGATATCCATAAACGACCAAACACTATCACGTTCTCCCTCATTTGTTTGTTGCCTCTGAAATTGGTTCGGCAAACACACAGAATTCCTCAATGACTCTTTTCAGAGAGACATTAGCAAACTATCTAGTAATTTTGCTTCACTAAAACTGCAGTGATGTTTAACAACAGTAAAGTTTCACCTCCTCTGAATGACAAATCTAAAACAAAGTCACTCTATCCCTATAATTGCTCTCTTGATTTCTGATGATTAATGAGTTGCTTCTACTGTTTCAGGTTGTGTTCTCCAGCCAGTGGTTACGTCACGGGTCTCACCTCTGACTTTTGACCTCAACGGCACACAAAAAAGCCAAGTGCTCGTTTCCAGATGAAGCAATTATGGCCAAACTACATGCAAAGAAACTCAAGAGTTTCTTTCATGATATGTATCCTCAGGAGGACACACTCCTAATTGAAATGCATTGAACATGTCCATCAGATCCTTTTCTCGGCATTATGAGCGATGATCCTGGATCAGTTTTAGCTCCGTAACTGCAACATGCGTCACCAGCTCCATCCAGATCTTTCCTCAGTGTCCCATATTCACACAAAGCTTCTGTGGAAAGCCTTTATAAGACTTTATAGCACATAAAACCAAACCAGAGCACGAGGAGACATCATAACTCACCTCTGCTGCAGCTGATGGATTGTGCTGTCCACTGGACTGTGTCTCTGTGCTGGAAAGTCAGACTGTCTGCTACACTTTCGGGACACTAAAGTTTCTCCAGAGCATCAGCTTGAGAAATGTGTCCCTCCCATTTCACTCTCAGCCAATCAGAGGTCTCCGTTCTCCCAAACAGAGCCCGCCCACAGCAGGGATTTAGCCATATAAGGGCAAGGAATGTTGAGCCTGTGTCTGCTTATGACACACAGAGCATGAGATACTCAGAGGAATCCACATGAAATGACAGGAAAAGAGATAAGCTGCCTTATTTAGAGAAAACTGGACTCACATCTGTGTGAGTGTGTGAGTGTGTGAGTGTGTGTGTGTGTGTGTGTGTGTGTGTG